ATCACCCAGTTAAGCAGAGATTAACACCAAGATTATCACCAGACATACAATCAAGCAGTGAACAATACCCTAATCAAGGAACTCCAGGGGAGGGGGAGACCCACCAACACTGGCAGGGCAAGCCGCTGTATATAAACAGAGAGCAAACTCCATTCCATTCTAGTACTGAACATGTTACCAAGCTGGGTAATGAAATGTTTGCAAGAAAACAACCAAGCTCAGAGAACCCCAAGGACTCCATGAGAGAGAAGATAACAGCAACTGAGAAAGAGAACAAACTGTTATATATGAGAAAGAAAATCACAGGAGAAGTTGCACTACTTTTCAAAGCATTATATTCTAAGCACAAAATAGACAAAAAAGGCTTGAAAACATACATTAAAGACTTAGAATAAAAAGAATTTACTCAAGAACACAGACAAAGATTAAGCAAACCCATTATAATTCAGGAGATCAGAGAAGCAATAAAGAAAATTAAAATTGGAAAGGTGCCAGATACAGATGGGCTAATAGCACAATTCCAAAAAAAAAGCTAGAGGAAGAACTGGTGGAACTGCTCTTGAGGATGATGAATGAAATCCAAGTGACAAATACAATATAGGTAGTCCTCACTTAATGACCACAATTGGGATTGGAATTTAGGTCACTAAGCGAGATGGTCATTAAGCAAACCATCACGTGACTGGACCCAATTTTATGATCATTTTTGCAGCAGTTGTTAAGCAAATCACCAAGGTCATTAAGTGAATTATGTGGTTGTTAAGTAAATCACATGTTTCCTCATTGATCTTTCTTGCTGAAAGCCAACTGGGAAGGTTGCAAATGATGTTCACGTGACCCTGGGATGTTGCAACCATTATAAGTATGAGCTGATTGCCAAGTGCCCAGATTGTGATCACATGACCGCAGGGGCACTGTGATGGTTGTAACTTTGAGCATTAGTCATAAGTCATTTTTTTTAGTGCCATCATAATTTTGAATGGTCACTAAACGAAAGGTCGTTAAGCAAGGACTACCTGTACCAAAGACAAGAAGAAGCATATATAACTCTCTGAAGAGAATGATCTGAAGAAACCCCAGCTGTGCAGATCAATTTCTTTACTGAATGCTGATTATATGATATTCACTACAATATTAGCTGAATGTATGTGGAAGCACATTTCCAAAATCATACATACAGATCAGACAGGTTGAATTCCAAAAAGAAAGATGAAAGACAAGAACAAGTTTATAATAACCACATTAGAACACATCAGCAATTTAAAAAAAAGGTGTAGTAATATTTTTAGATGCAGAAAAAGCTTTTGACAATTTGGAATGGACTTTCCTACTAAAGGACTTAGATAAAATGAACCCAGGAAAAGAGTTCAAAACTTGCATGGAGAACATATATTAATGACAACCACAAAGATCATAGTGAAAGGAACACTCTCTGCAAGTTTCTTAAGTAAAGGCACAAGACAAGAGTGTCCACTTTCTCCCTTACTGTTATAATTGCTTTGGAAGTCCTGGTGGACAAGATCCAAATAAAATAAAATAAAATAAATACAAATTGAAATGTTATGTAGATGATGTGATACTAATGTCTATGCATCCACAAAGCTCTATAAGGCAGCTAATGAAAATACTTAACGATTTTGGCCCTGTTTTGGATACAAAGTTAATGAAAAAAAAATAAAGATAATAACAAAGTACTTAACTTCTGAAGAAGATGACTTGATGAAAAAGAGACAGGCTGTGAGATTACATAAGAGCCAGTCAAATACTTAGGGTGTTATTTGACATGATGAAACAAAGATATATTTAAAAACAATTATAACAAATTATGGAAAGTAATAAAACAATATCTCAGAAGGTGGAAAAATTTAAAACTTTATTGGCTGGGACTTATTGCAACAATAAAAATGAATATACTACTCATGATGACCATTTTATTTCAAATGGGACCATTTCCAACCTCAGACAAAACCTAGCAGGATTGGCACAGAACAATTAATAGATTCATGTGGAGTGGGAAAAAAAAATGAGAGTAAGATTCAAAATTTTACAAGACTCAAAGGAAAGAGGTATACATGCTTTTCCTTATCTTAAACAATATTATTAAACAAGCTGTGCATCATGGATAACAGAATGGATAACATTTCCTAACAGCAGAACATAAATGATAGAAGGAGCTGGTTTAGGTAATGGACTTCACAGTTATTTATGGCACCAAGAAAGAAAAGAACAAAAGATTTTGAAGGGACATATAAGATAGTCTGTTGAAAATTTGGAATCCTCTGAGAATAAGGATAAGTCCAGCGGTTTCACCATGAGCATCCCTGTCAAATGCTTTTTGCTTTAAGGATAATTACAGCAAGAAATATTTGATCTCATATGCCAAGATGGTACATTTAGATCCAGAAAACAGGATAGAGACATAGCAAGATCTGCTCAATGAAGATAGGAACTTACCATAGTTAATGTACATGCAAATTACTGGAAAAATGAAAAGTGATCTTAAGAAACAAAGAGCGTCCTTGAGAAAGGTGACAGAATTTGAAACACTTATAGAAAAGATTATTTATTGGGGTGCATCTATAAATTGTTATTGAAATATGATACAGAGGCAGAACAAATTAAAAACTACATGATAAAATGGATGCAAAATTTCAAAGAGGAATTCTAATGGAACAATAGGAAGAGCTATGGAAAAAATAAAAAAATTCACCCCAAGCTACAATGTGAGAGAAAATTGGTACAAGATGTTTTATAGACAGTATATAATTCCTTCAATGATTACCAGGCTGGACAAGTCATAAAATAACAAATGCTGGAAATGCCATTTTATCATATGTGGTGTTCTTATAAAGAAACCCAAAAGTATTGGAAGGAAATTAAAATGAAATTTGAATTGAAGCCACAAACATTTTTATTAGGAATAATTCCAGAGAGTATAAACAAGAAGTACCATAATTTACTGAGATACATGCTGATAGCGGCAAGAACCAATCTGGCACAATACTGGAAAAGTTAAACCTTGTCAACAATACCAGAATTTTGGAGTCCAAAACTGGACAATACGCAGCAATAGCAAAACTGCATAGTGTATATTCATAACAGAAGTTTAAATTCAAGCAGGAATGGCTCCCTTGCGTACAACATATTATAAAGCAAGGCAGATTCAGATATTTAGAATACAACTTCTAAGAAAAAGAGCTAAGAGACTGAACAAAGATAACATGAAATTATTTAAATAGATATAAGCAATCATTTTTAATCTTCAAAGAAAAGATCTTCAGAGAAAAGTATAAACTTTTGAGTAGCAGTTAGTGGTTGGGAATAATGGAAGGGAAGGAGAAAGTGTGCTAATGGAAGTTTTTTCTCCCCCTTAATCTCCCTGTGTGTGTGTGTGCGGGTGCACGTGCATTGATTTAACCATCTCACTTTAATGAACAAGAACAAATAATTCATTAAAAAAGCAGTGCTCCTTTTTATAGCACTGGTCATGTGTCCTCTTGCACTCCAACTGCATACACTGCAATGTTTATATTACATCAGCAACTGTTTAATATGGGAGGCCATCCACCAGTCTGGGGTGAAGTATCTTCAATGTATTTCCACCCTAAGCCTCAGAGGAGAAGTGCTGGAAATCCTGACCTGGTTCATGAAGACTGTCAGAGTCTGCATGGGGAGAAACAATCTAAGCCAAGAGGGGATGACTATTAATTTAGAAGACCGTTGATTCTGGGACAGTATCAAATTTGACTTTTGATAGAATGGTGGTCTCCTGAAAAAAGCAAGGTGTGGGTTCTCCCGAACACACATCTTCTGTTGGAAGAACAGGTTGAGGCTGTGGCCAGGAGATTCATTGCCCAGTTTTGGTTAGTGTGCCAGTTGTGGATGCTTTGAGGATGATCACGTATGACATTTACACCTCTCACATGAATTACTATAATTCAGTTTACATAAGGCTGCCCTTGAAGACTATGTAGAACCTCAGCTGGTGTAAAATGCAGTAGCCCATATGCTTACTGATGATCTCAACAAAACATCACTGCAACAGGAATTGCACTGGCTACGGGTCTGTTTCCAACTGCAATTCAAGGTGCTGGTTATTACCTTTAAAGCCCTATATGGTTTGGGTCTGGGTATCTGCAAGACTGTCTTTCTCAGACAGATTATGCCCACCAGCCTGGGTGAACAGAGGATGCCTCCTGAGAGGCCCACTTATCATGATGTATGAGGGGAGGGAGCACAACTGCAGGCCTTCTCAGTGGGGGCTCCCCTCTTTGGAATAGCTTGCTCCTGAGATGCGGGTGGCTCCTCTCTTCATAATTACCCAAGATTTGTTAAAGCTTGGCATTTCTAGAAGACCCTTGGGAAATGAACAGTTTGTTGAGTCACCAAAATAGGAGAGCGTGATGATGTTATTAATTGTTCCCTTATTATATTAATATTCTATTATTATTGTTATCCTTATTTATAGCCTAGAGCACTACCAAAATGAAGTGGTCTATAAAGAAGTTTAAATATACCATCTATAAATACATTTTAAAAACCTAAATAAATACAGAGATGCCAAATGAAGGTGCACCAATTTAACTGACATTTTATCTAGGAGAAAATACCTGAGATACCACAGAGCTTCCCAGACTGATGTTTATTGATAATAATGATTATAATCTGGTTGGTTCCCCAATTTATCAAAGGTGTTCTGTCTTCAAGACACTAAGGAACAAATGTTTTAAAGAGAAGAGGCCTTCCAAATGTTAGGTTCCAAAATCGTGAATGACTGAACTTTCTTCCAAAATTGTCTTTAAGTGAGAATTCCTATGAAGAAACAAATCCTGTTTAAATCATTGATATATGAAAGAAGTTGTGTTTTTACCTGCTACTACAGGTGACTTTCGGTCATCCAGCAGCTGTATGGCAGTACTTGCTGTCACCACATTGCTCTTGTTGGCTGTTTCTATAAATATGAAAAGGAATGGATGTTCAAGTCCAAATTCTCACCCTGTATGGCAAGAGCTGTAAAATTGCGCCCGACAACAAAGGCTTGAATGATTGACATGTTGAATCAGGAGCATGCAGTTTCTTTGAAGTTGGGGGCATGCTTTTCCTTTAATTGGGGGGGACTTCTAAGAGCTTCAAGGTTTAAGTAACAAAACTGGGGAAATGGGCCGTTTTGCCACTGTTTCAAACAGCACAAACCTGCCGATTCTCTGGGGGCTGGAAACGTGGGACTGGGGGTGGGGATGCAGGTTATCCATGGACTACCATCCAATTCTTGCACCTTATACTAGAATTGGAAATGTTCCACTGGATAAGTAATACATAGCTCCCTTTCTTTTCTTATTTTACATTAAAGAAAATGTAGGTGCTAATCTGGTGCTTTTCCTTTGTCCCCCAGCCATGAACCTCCTGAAGTCAGTTTCCCTTTGTAGTTATCAAGAGTTTTTATTTTTGTTTTAAAAGAAAAGGGTGGGAGGGAGAGAAAGAGGGACCCCAACTAGAACCATTTTTTTTTTTAAAAACGTTGCTGTTACGTGAGAGAAGAGGGTTGCATCACGGGGGAAAAAGTTAAGCCTCCTCTCTCCAGATGCCAGTATTTGGATCTGAATAAAACCCACAGGCTTCCTGTTGAGCCTGACAAGGATACAGAGGAATCCATCTAGTATGTATACCGGTAAAGTGCCTCTTGCTGCTTTAGACCTGATCAATTCTAAGTACTTCCATGACAAATAAAAACAGTCTTAAAGAAGTTCTGTATGTACCTTGTTAGACCTTGGTTGATCTTGAAAAAAATAAGCAGGTTCAGGCTTAGTTAGGTACTTGGATGGATGGAGGCTAGAAAATGGAGATGGAGATGGAGATAGAAAATAGAAGATGGAGGCTAGGTACCTTGGAAAAGCACTTCAGAAAAAAGACCTCGGTAGTGTTACCAGTAAAACTCTCCCTTGCAAACTGGCATTCCCTGTCATGTTTTGACATGCAAAGTGATATTAAGTCCCAAATTGAACCAGATGATTTTGGTTAAAAAGTAGCGGCAGGATAAAATGTAATTCCATAACAAACCTGTGCTGAATGGAATGGAGTAGACAAAGCTTCCTGGAATCTGTTCAGCAGCTCTTCGATACCAAAGTGGGAAATGATCCGCATTAAAAATATTCTCCTTGTCTTCAGCTGTCAAGAAGTCTCTTGAAACAGAAGGAAATATAAAACGTTTGCTTTTTTCATTTCGTTTTTCACCGATCATCCAACTTAACTACTTACTTTTTTTATATAACTGTATTGTGTTTTATTCTTGTTTGCTGCTCAGAGTTATTTTTGATAGATGGGTGGCCATATAAATTGGCTACCTAAATAAATCAGATGCTGTAAAGCCCCCACTGGCTTACTTTCTCCCCGGTGTAAATAAGATGGTGAACATCATTTTCCAAGTTCTGAGATTTGTAGTCCCAGCAAAAAAAGACACTGGGGGGGGGGGC